TTTCTAACCATTTTGATGAAATATGGTTTCACTGGCAAATTTGAAATAACCGATGATAGTGGAACTGGGAAAGTTGTTGTGAACCTGGAAGGCAGGTTAAACATGTGTGGAGTGATCAAGCTCTGATTTGAAGTGCAACCCAAAGATCTAGAAAAATGGATGAAATATCTGCCCCCATTTCATCATTTGGTTTCATTGGACTGATGACCTCAGTGGGCATCATGGACCACAAAGATACAGTATGAAAATCACAGGAAGGGAAATCCTGGAATTCTTTTTCTATGAATGTGATACATATATTCAAATAAAATGCTTCAATGGACAAAGAGTTGAAATATATCAGTACAGCCTGGCGTGGTGGCACACTCCTGTGATCCCAGTGACTCAGGAGGCTAAGGCAGGAGGATCACAAGTTTGAGGTCACCCTCAGCCACTTAGGAACACTCTGTCTCAAAATAAAAAATAAAAGGCTAGGGATGTAGCTCAGTGGTAAAGTTCCCCTGGGTTCAATCCCCAGACCAAAATAATAATAATAATAATTATTATTATTTTTTTACTGACTTTCTTCAATAAGTCAAGAGCCCAGTTTGAAAAAATGAGAAGGATCTAGCTATTCCAAGAGTGTGGTAAAAACCATTATAAGCAGAAGGATCAGCATGTAGGTCCTGAGCCAGGCCCTCTGCAAAGCATCATGCATGGGCTATTTCTTCACAACTACCCCCACTAGGTAGGTACAATTATTAGTACTAATAATAGAGAATAAGAGGACAAGAACTTGCTCAACACATACATCCTTTACCTTAAGTGGCAGAGCTAGGGTCAGACCCCAGGTTCCCGTTAACACCAAAGCCCATGGCTTGCTCATGGTATTCAGAACCCGTCCTCCCCCTAGGAAAACCAGCCATCGGCTGGAGAACAGGAGCAGGGGGTAGGCAAGTCCATGGGGGTGAAAGGATATTCCTGCCCTGCAACCAGAGTCACCGGCACAACAGGATCAGGGCCACCTTGCAGGACCATGCAGCATAGACACGGAGCCAAGTCAGAGTTAAGCTCTGATTAGCTTATCATTGTCAATGAAAGGTTCTGGCACAGCCATTGAAGAATTCCATGCCTGACTTTCCCTTCTGCTGTCCTTGAGAGAATCATGGAACACAAGGACATGAGATGGGTGGGAGGCGACAGGGAATAGCAATAATGACAATAATAATACTGAGAGCTGTAATAATGCTTACTGTGTGTCACAGTATAACAGGCACAGTTCCAAGGTCTTCATGTATACAGTTGTCCCTTGGTACCGATGGTGAGCAGGTCTGATACCAAGGGTATGCAATGGGGATGGATTTGGTATCCACAGATACCAAAGTCCATGGGTGCTCAAGTCCTTTATGTAAAATGGCATTGTATCTGCATATAACCTACACACTAAATCATCTCTAGATCACTTGTAATACCTAATGTAAATGCTATGTCAATAGTGTTTATATTGCGTTGTTTAGGGAAGAATGACAAGAAAAAGTTTATACATATTTTTTCCCAATTTTTGATCCATGGTTGGATCTGCATGTTCCACATCCACAGAGAGCCAACTGTACTAACTTGTTTCATTTTCAGAATAACTCTGTAATAACATCCCTATTTTACAAGTGAGGAAACTGAGACCCAAAGGGGCTGATTACTCACCCAGATGACACAGCTCATAGACGGCAGAGCTGTGATCTGAACAGGCAGCTGGCTTCTGAGTCCACTCTTGCTTTTTTTTTTTTTTTTTTTTTAGTCTTTTTATTGTAAAATAAGACATAGAAAACAATATGAAGGAAGCAGACAACTTAATGAATTTAATTAATTAGTAGAAGTTATTACAAGATATACACCCTATGATCAGCCTACTGGTCAAGAAGTAGAACTTTGCCAGATACCCAAGAAGCCCCTGTCTGTGCCCTTCCTCCTAAAAGCAACTCTATTCTTTTTTATTATTTTTTTTAATTTTTTTATTGGTTGTTCAAAACATTACAAAGCTCTTGACATATCATATCTGCTATTCTTTTTTAAAATATTTTTTTTAGTTGTGGATGAACACAATACCTTGATTTTTTTATTTTTATGTCATGCTAAGGATCAAACCCAGTGCCTCACACATGCTAGGCAAGTGCTTTACCCATGAGCTACATCCCCAGCCCCTTAAGTCTCTTTTATTCCACAAATTCCCCTTCCATTCCTTTTTGGTTTTTTGTAATTGATCTGTTGAAGAACCAGGGTCAACTGACCTATGGAGTTTTCTGGATTTTACTGATGGCAACATGTCCCTCTGCCCTAACATTTCCTGAAAATTGCCTGCTGCATTTCATGGAGTGATCAGACTCCAATGCGATCCTTTTGGCAAGGCCCCAGGTGATGATATGTTCTTCCATTGGAGTATCTAATGTCTGCTTTTCTGTTTTATAGTCAGATCCACGCTCTAAAGCATATTGCTATGGATGCTTTCAGGCTATCTGCAGTCACTGTGTTTTTTTTGTTTTGTTTTTTTTTTTCACCCGCTGGACAAATCTGTCCCCAAAGGCAAGCTCTTCACAGGCACCAGGGATTCTACTACTGTGGCCTGCAGAGATAACATGGCAGCTCCTCAGAGGTCCGGCCTGAGGCTCTCCATACTCCAAAGTCTACAGCAGGATTGGGTGCTGCCTTCTTGTTGAGAGTCATCCCTCTCTCCTCCTTCCAGCCACCCAGTACAACTGACAGATGGAATTCCACTTAATTTTCTGAAGGGACCAGGCTCCCCCTTTCCTCTGGGCCTTGGCGCAGCTGTTCCCACAACCAGAAACACTCTTCCTGACTACCTCTTCTGACTCAGCACTGCTAACCCATCAGGTCCTAGCAAATCTGTCCCTTCAAACACCATCCCACGACACACACAGGATTGGAACGGGTGCCTTTTATGTACTCCTGCAGCTCTGAGACTAGCCCAGTTAGTCACCAGATCACACTAGTTTATTTCCCCCACAACAGTTTGACCTTGAGAACAGAGACCCTGGCACAGGGTCTAGCACATGGTAGGAATTCAATAAGTATCAGTAGGGGGTTGGAGATGTAGCTCAAGGATAGAGCCCTTGCCTAGCAGGCACCAGCCCTCTGGGTTCTATGCCCATCACTGCAAAATGAATAAGTGAATGAATGAATATATAAAGAAATAAGTAAAAAGTATCAGTTGAACACATGCAGGAATGAGTGTATAAATTAGACTTTACAAATCCCAAGGAGGCAAATCGGGGCTTAGACATTTCAGCTGTGAGAGCTCTTCTAAGATGATCCACCAAGTATTAAAGCAGTGGTGTGGGGGAAGCAGAAAGAATTCCCATCTAGGAAAAGGCATCTCACTTCTTGAAAAGTCACAGAACCCTTTCTTTAGACGATCTTACTAGTAGCCCTAAAATACAAGGCAGGAGAAAGAGGAGTTCTAGTTTCTGCATCAGTGGCAGAAGCCTAGGCCCTGGGACTTTCTTATGCTAAGCACTAAGGTTCCTCTGAACAGTGGCCCTGATGGCTGACAGAGATGTCTACAGAAGCCATCTTTCTGCACATCTCCCTCCAAGGTCTTTGCCTTTCTGAAACAGTGCAGACCTGGAGCCTGGCAGAGCTAAGCTGGTATGGGACATGCAGGGCAGCAGGCCTGCCTTGCAGGGACCGGAGCCAAGGGCTTAGTCTCAGAATTGGATTATTAGAGTGAATTTGGAGCTCCCGGCTCAGGGACATGGGGATTACCCAGGCCTCTGGCTGGGGCCCACAGTCCTTCCCACATTCCCCGCCAGATCTGAGAACAGGTGTCCTCCCTCTGCTGCAGCACAGCAGACAGGGGATGCTCCATCTCCACCCAGCCAGCTCCAGCCTGCAGCCTGCAGCCTGCCCCACCTGCCTCCCACGTGTCTTCAATGTACAGCAGTTTTTCAGACTGTGATCCATGGACCGGCAGCATCTGCAGCAGCATCTGCAGTCTCTGGGAATTTATTAGAGATGCACATTCATGGAGCCCATCCCAAACAAAATCAGAACCACTGCAAGGTGGGGTATGGGGAGGGGCATGGGGGCATGGTATAGGCAGATCTATGGCTTAACAAATCCTCCAGGAGATTCTTATGCATATTAAAGTACAAAATCAATGGCTCAGAGTACACCTGCTGCCAGGCTCTATCTCAAGTATGTGCCAAGCCTGCCAAACCCACAAATTTATTCTGATTACTTTAACCTTTCATTTGTAGAAATTCATTACAATGATTATAATGGATCTATTCCCTATCACCACGTTGCACTAGTCCACCTCAGTCTGAGAGTGGCAGCCCCCAGAAGTTCACAATGCATGGCCTCGGAAATGCTCATTCGGTACTGACCCCATCCTTTATTATCCCCACATTACATATAAGGAAACTGAGGTCCAAAGAGGAGATGTAAGTGGCTCAAAGTCACATCACAAGTATACTTGGGACCTAACCACTAGACTTCCTGCTTCCTATCTCAGTGGAGAGGATGGCAGCTGTTTCAACATCTGTCTCCTCACACAGGCTAGGATTTCCTTCAGGGTAAAGCCCTTGTTGTCGCTTCCTCAGGAAAGCCCTCCCTGACCTCCTTAGAGTAGGCCAGGACCCCTGTACACCCTGCTGAAGGGCCTCTGTATGCTTCCTTCCAGCCACATCACCATTTATATCGTGTCTGGGTATGTTTATGTCATGTCTACTTCCCTGACCAGCACCAAAGCTCCAGGAAGTCAGGAAATGGTACACTGGGCAGCCGCATACCCAGCTAAATGACCACATTCCTCAGTTTCCCTCTTAGGGAGAGGTATTAGCTTTTAACCTGTGGAATGGGGACAGAAGTCACCGGGTATTTACTAGTTACTCAATAAATGCATGTTGAACGCAGGAAAGTTCAGCCAGTTCCACGCAAGTGACACGCAGGAAATTTGTGCATCATCTAAGGAGGACCAAGAACTAAAGACCACCCGGCCATCTGTCTCTTGGAAATATTTTTATTGGTTCTGAGATCACAGGGCTAGGCGAGCTGGGACGGGCATAGAGCGAAGGAGGGCGGCGACAGGCTTTGCCCCGGGGCAGACATGCTGTGTGGGGTCTGCTGGCGGGCTCCCTGGCCCACCCAGCCAGCAGCGGCTGGGTACATGGCACTTGGCGCCTGGCGTGACCTCTGCCGGCTTGGCACTGTGGCCTCCTCATCGTCGGCGGGCGCCCCCTTTTCCAGTTGCAGGAGTTGTGAGTCTTTCACAGTGCGGAGGGGTGGGGGTCCGGGGTGGGCACCTCCCCGGGGTGCAGGCAGGCCCCATCCGCCAGTACATCCTGGGCTCTCGGCGGCTACGGCGGGGGCGGGGCGAGGCGAGCTCTGGCTCCTCTTCTCCCCTCCCCGCTGTGGGAGCTTGGCAGTCCTGGAGGGGCCCTTGCGGCCTCAGCGGGACATCATCCGGACAAACTCTGCAAAGGTACAGGAACAGACAGGGAGACGGGACAGTCAGGGCGCAGCCCAGGAGGCTGCCTCCACGCCCCTCTTCCCATCACACTGCCCTGACTCTGCGCTGATCCCCCACATCCACTCTGCCCCCTCCAAACGACGTCCTGCACAGCAACCAGTGTGAGCCTCTAATCTGCACACGTGACCCCTGATTAAACCTCTGTGGCTCCACTGAGATGATGTCCAGTGTCCTGCAGCAGCCCCAGGGCCCTCCCTGAGCTGGCCTGGCTGCTGACATCTCCCGTCCCATGCTCCAACCCCACCTGCCCATCAGAACGCAGATGGCTCACGCTTGCTACTGTATGCTCTCTCCCCCTGCCCCTCCCTTTCTCCTGTCCCCCACCTCTCAGTTTCCTACAAGCTGTCCCCAAGCCTTTCTTTTCTTTCCTATACGTAATTTTTCAGAGTAGTTTTAGGTTTCTGGCAAAATTGATTGGAAGGTACAGAAATTCCCCTTCTAACCTCTGTTCTACTTATACATAGCTTCCCCAACCGTCAACATGTCCCACAGGAATAGGACATTTCAACAGATGAACCCACTTTGATACCTCCTTATCACCCAACATCCATAGCTGACATCCCCGGTTTGTTCTTGGTGTGGCACATTCTTTGGGTCTGGATACACATATAATGACAAGTATCTACTATTCTGGCATCTGGAGTAGTTTTACTGCCCAACTCCAGGCAACCGGTGATCTTTTTACTGTCTATGGAGACAGTGTGGCCTTTTCCAGTAGATCATATAGCCCGGAATCATACAGTACATATGTAGCCTTTTCAGATTGGCTTCTTTCACATAGTAATATGCATTTAAGGTCCATCTATGTCTTTCTGTGGCTTGATAGCTCATTCCTTTTTAGTGATGAAAAAAAATATTCCATTTTTTGGATTACCACAGTTTATTTATCCATTCACCTATTGAGGGACACCTTGGTTGCTTCCAAGATTTGGCAATTATGAACAAACCTGCTACAAACACTGGTGTGCAGGTTTCCATGTAGACAGAGTGCCAATGCATTAGGATCAATATCGTTCTTTTTCACCGGGTGGCTCCTACCCATCTTTCAGGTCTCCATTCATTTATAACCTCCTTCCCTCATCCCTCCCCCTGGCTTGGCATAGGGGTCCCCTCTGTGCCTGCTCTGCTTCCTTCAACATAGCATGCACCACACTGCTTTTCTGTTTTCTTGCTTCCAAAGGTAGTGAACAGGTCTCAGTCCACGGCAGGTGAACAACACACCTTGACAGAATGAATGGGCAATGCCAGGCTCTTGAGGATGGGCCGTCATCTGCAGTGGGTGCTACCTAAACACAGGGCAACCTGAGATTTTCAAAGCTGATGCGAGCAAACCTTCAATCCATCTGTGCACACTCTCACCTCCCTTGAAAGCCAACTACTCCCCAGAGAAGACCTCCCAAGACTTTGTGTCCTGGACACATACTCTGACACACGCTTATCCTGTCTTTCTGCTCAGGATGCAAGGTCCTGAGTACAGGGTCATGTTACTTTTCTCTCCCACATGGCTTTGTGCTTGGAAAGGTATCTTGTGTGGGAGTACATAGTAGTTGGGATTCCAGGCCTGGGTCTGTGCCCCAGCTCTGCCTCCTAATAGTTAGCCAATTCTTGAGCAAGTTATTTACTTCTCTGAGCCTCAGTTTCCCCGTGTGAGGAAATAATAGTGAGATGTATAGAGTCGTTGCAAGAATTAAATGAGATAATATATATAAAGCTACTTAGTATGACCGGCACAAGATAAGTGTACAATAAGTGATAACTATTATTACTATTGATTCCTTTAAAAACTGTTCCCTAAACATTAGGTATGTGTCAGGTGCTCAGTTATGTAGGAAATGCAGAGATCAAAAAAACAGGGTTCCTTTCCTCTCAAGTTTCAGAGTCAAGTGGGGTGATGACTATAAGCAGCAGTTGGGGGACAGTGTGAGGAATGGGGGTGAACCTGAAGTGCTATAAAAGCCCAGAAAAGAGAAAGTTCAGTCTGAAGGACCAGGAAAGAAGTACTGGAGGAAGTGGCCTCACTTCTGGGCCTTGAAGGGAGAATAAAATTTAGTCCGAGTGGAGAACAGAAAAAAAGGCATCCTAGCAAAAAGAACAAGAGGGCCTCGTAGGCTCATGGACCATGAGTATTTTGGAGGAGATGAGTGAAGGCATGGTAGAAAGTGAACTACAGTCAGAAATCACAGGACTGAGGTCAGATTGAGGAATGTGGTGTTCAGAAAGTAACCACCATGCCGGGTGCGATGGTTCATGCCTGTCATCCCAGTGGCTTGGGAGGCTGAGGCAGGAGGATCATGAGTTCAAAGCCAGCCTCAGCAACAGTGAGGTGCTAAGCAACTCAGTGAGACCCTGTCTCTGAATAAAATACAAAATAGGGCTGGGGATGGGGCTCAGTGGTTGAGTGCCCCTGAGTTCAATCCCCAGCACCAAAAAGAAAGAAAGAAAGGAACCACCATGGATGGATGCATGAGATGGGCAGATGGATAGAGATGGATGGAGGCACAGGGACACAGAGATAGGTGGATGGATGAACAGATGGATATAGGTGGGTAAATGACTGAACAGACAGATGGAGAGATCAATGCAATATGAATAGAAGTCCAGGCAGATGCATAGAGATATATGAATGTAGGAGCAGAAGAACAGAAGTGGGAGAAATGAATGAGCATTTAGATACTTAATGAATGTAAGGTGAAGGTGGAGGTATAGAAGAGAAGGTATAGAAGAATGAATAGATGCACGAATGGAGAGGTAAACATGTGGGTAAATGGCTGTATGGATGATTATTTAGAGGTGACTTATGGATACCTAGGCATCCAGACAGATGAAGAGATGAATGTAGGAAATGATGGAGATAAATATGGAGAGATGAAGAGGTGAAGGGACAGGTAGATGGATGAATGATGGCTAGATGGATGCGGGTAAGGATGGGAGTGGACTAGAGGGGCAACTGGACAGTGGGATGAGAGAATGGAAGGGCAGGATGATAGAAGGTTGGGCTGGATAGCTGCTTGTATGGTGGATACACAGTTGGAGGACTCTGTGGCCGGCCACGGCTGGCTGGCTTCTCTCCTGTGTTCAAGTGCCACCTACCTTCAAAGTCCACTCGTCCATCCCCATTGAGGTCCACATCTCGGATAATTTCCTCTATGTCTCGGTGCCCCACCTGATGACCCAGGAGCTTCCTCATGGCCTCTCGCAACTCACTGGTGCTTATCTCCCCGTCACCGTTGGTGTCAAACTAGAGAGGGCAGAAGGAGGGAGACGGGAGCAGCAGGTCCCAAGGCCATGCTCCTTCTTCAGACCCAGTGTCCACCCTTCTCTGGAGTCACTCTTCTGTCCAAGTTCCGCACTGGTCTGGAACCCAGGTCCCAGCCTTCTTCTCTCTTTTTTCTTTCTTTGTTTTGTTTTGTGTTTTGTTCCGAGGTACTAGGGATTGAGCCCTGGGCACTGTACCTCTGAGCTACACCCCCAGCCCTTTTTATTTTATTTTTTAAAATTTTGAGACAGGGTCCTGTTTGAGGCTGACCTCAAACTTGTAATCCTCCCGCCTCAGCCTCCTGAGTTGCTAGGATTACAAGCATGTGCCACCACTATGCCTGGCTCCCAATCTTCTTTTCAAGCAGCCATCCTGGGATCCCGGCTCTATCGGCCTTGTCATGGCCTGTCACTCACCTCTCGAAAGGCATCTCTCAGTTCCTTTACTCCAATCATGTCGGCCGTCTCTGCCAGGAGTTTAGGCCCCATTAGCTCCACGAAGTCATCAAAATCCACATGGCCACCCACTGGAGCAAGAGGAAAGGGGCCAGGTCACCCTCAAGCCACACATTCCCCATCTCCAACTTGGAAGGAGAGCACTGCCAACCCCTGGTTGGTTCTGCCTGTGTCTGGCTCCAGGTGACAAGCAAAGGCCAAACAAGGACAGAGAGGTGACCACAGGCGGGTGGTTTGTCAAGGATTGGCTCAGGGGAGTGGCCAGAGGTTGAACAAGGGAGCCAATCAGGAAGTAGATAGGGGTAGATATGGAAGAGAGAACGAGGTATTGGCTCAGAGTCAGGCAGAGCCTTTCAAAAATGGAAAGAGTGGGACACTCATAGAAAGGCGGAGAGAAGCAGAAGTTATGTGTGCCCAAGCCTTGCCCTCGTTGTGCCAATGCAGACTCAACTTCCAAGTGGATAGGTAGAAGGACCAGAGGACTGGTACCCACTGCCTGCTAACAACAGCTCTCAAACAGGGACCCACAGGAGTAGGGGATAAATACCCAGCTGGAGAGGTAGGGAGGGATGGAGGGGGGGACACTCTTAGGTAGCCATTCTATATCAACCCCAACAGGCTGAGCCCAGCCCCTCCGTGGTAGCTGGCATGAGAGTCAGCCCTGGGTGGGTTCCTTCCCTACCCTATCTCACTTCCTCACTTCCTACCAATCCTTTCCTTCACTTTCTGAGATCACTATCTCAGAAAAACCTAGACTCAGACAGAGAAAAACAACCATAGCATTCCTCTGATCATTTTTTGCTGTGAGCCAGGTATTGGACTGTTTTACATATATTCCCTAATTTACTTCTTCAGCTCCACTCCCCTGTTACACTCTTACTTTATAGATGAGGAAACTGAGGCTCAGAGAGGGCAAGCGCTTTGTACCAGGTCACACAGCTGGAAAAAAAAAATGGATGTAGTATTTGAACCCAGGGTTGTCTGATGAGAAGGGATGGAGGTGCCGAGCGGAGGGACTCACGGTTCATGTTGATCTGCTGGGATAGCTCAATGAGCTCCATCTCGGTGGGCATGTAGCCCATGGTGCGCATACAGTTGCCCAGGTCCCGACAGTTGATGTAGCCGTCCTTGTCCTTGTCAAATTCTCGGAAGGCCTCTCGTAGCTCTGGGGAAAGGAACAAAGGCAGGGGGGTAGGACCCACAGAGCCTTAGGGAATAAAGTCAGCCTCTGGGAACAGAGCCCACCAGAAAGATGGGCCCTGGGGTCCCTCAGAACTCTGGGCTTCTCTCAGGCTCCTTCTTCCAATGGCTGGGTCCCCAGCAGATGCCCTGCTCTGTACCAGGCCCTGTTCCCAGGAGGCCAGGAGGCCCTGACTCTCTTCCCACCATCTCCCTCCCATACCTTCCTGGAGGCTGAGCAGCCCTTTCCCCCGAGGTCCAAGTTTTACCTTCGATCTCCTCTGGTCGCAGTGATCTGTCCTGAAACAAAAGAACAAGTCCTGTTAGCAGCAGCAGGGGACCTGGGAGTTATAAGATGTCCATCCAGTTAGAGGCCCTCCAAGGGGCAGCTGGCTCTGGGTGGAAAGGATAGGAATGGCGCAGAGGTTTGCCTGGACCACGTCCTTGGAGCCCCACAATGAGCCACAGACACAGAAGCTCCTGGGCCTCTCAGAGAAGCCCAAGGATCCACTGAACCCTGAGCCTGGGCACAGAACCGCTGTGGTCCTTATTCCAGATACAAGAGTAGGTCAGGAACAGAGCTGGTGCCGAGGCAAATACCTGTAAATAAAGCAGGGCCAGGGGAGGTCACCAGAGAGAGGAGAGCAACACCCAGTGACATCAGGGAAGGGGGCAGAAGCCCTCAAGGCAATCAGAAGCAGGGCTGCAAGGCAAGAGAAAGCGGGGACCATACAGGGAGCCCCGGAGGGCGGAGGAGGAGCCAGGGGAAGGGGAGGCAGAATTGGGACTAGGCCCTGCTTCCTGGGCACTGCCCCCATTTGCCCCCATCCTTACACTTGCCCTGTTACAGGACACAGTATAGGATCCTGCCGGCCACCAGTGCCTCTGACGGCTGCCAGGGTCCAAAGCACACATCTCCAGCCTCCAGCAGGGCCCAGGTCTCCTGGGGGAGTCAAGGAAACCCCGGGTCCAGGCGTCAGAACAGATGGCAGAGAAGTCTCCAAAGAGCAGGCCCCAGAGGAAGCACAGGGCAGGCTCTGGATGGTGAGCTCTGCCCAGGAGGGAGACAGACTGGCACATAATGGATACCGGGGCCAGGTGGGCCTGGTTAGGAGACTCCCCAACACCCCTCCCCCCAGCATTCTAGCTCTCTGCCTTTGGGCAGGGAGAACATGAGGCAGGCTGAACTGAGGAGGCTCATGGCAGGGTGGGCACCTTGTCATGAACCCAGGCACGCAGGCAGGCCACTGTGAGCAGGGGGCATCTCGGCTGCGCACATAGGCCATCCCAGCCAGCAGAGCCAGGGTGGGTGGAGACTGTGGCTGCCACCCACTCCATACTGGCTCCAGGGTGAGGGACAAGGCAGTAGGAAGCCTGAGGCTCCCGGTGAAGGGGTGCTGGTGATGAGAGTGTGTAGGAGCTGGGAACCGGCAGCCTGGGGGCAGCCAGAGTCTCCAGGCACGAGGAGTCGCCTGAAGGGATGTCGGTCCTGGGTGACCCGGTCTTGTGGACTCACCTACAAGGCTTGTCAGCGTGCAAGGTGCGAGGGTATGTCGATTTTGTCCCCAGACAGACCCACAGATCTTATTGGGTTTACAAATTGTTTTTTTTCATTTGTACAAATGAAAGTGAGTACAGACATCCTTTGGTCTCAGTGGGGCATTGATTCCAGGAACCCCCGTAGATACCTTGATCCAAGGATGCTCAAGTCCCTTATAAAAAAAGACATAGCATTGGGGCTGGGGTTGTGGCTCAGCAGTACAGCGCTTGCCTAGCATGCGTTAGGCACTGAGTTCAATCCTCGGCACCACATTAAAAAAAATAAAGATATTAGGGCTGGGAATGTGGCTCCGCAGTAGAGCGCTCACCAAGCACGTGGGAGACCCTGGGCTCACTCCTCAGCACCACATAAAAATAAATAAAAAATAAAGGTATTGTGTCCAATTACAACTAAAAAAAATTAAAATATATAAAAAAGATAATGTGTCCACCTATAACCAAAAAATAAATATTTTTTAAAAGTATTTGTGGCTGGGGTTGTGGCTCAGGGGTACTGTGCTTGACTAGCGTGTCCAAGGCCCTGGGTTCAATCCTCAGCACCACATAAAGATAAATGGAGGTATTATGTCCATCTATAACTAAAAAATAAATATTAAAAAAGATGTAGTATTTGCACATAGCCCATGCACATCTTCCTACATCTTTTTTTTTCTTAATATGTATTATTTAGTTTTAGGTGGGCACAATATCTTTATTTAATTTTTTTTCCTGTACCTCACGCATGCTAGGCAAGCGTGCTACCACTTGAGCCACATCCCCAGCCCCCTTCCCACATCTTTTAAATCATCTCTAGATGACTTGTAATACCTAATCCAAGGTAAGTGCTATGTAAATAGTTACACTGTCCATATTCAGTACAGATGCAACTGGGGGGGGAGTACCAGGGATTGAACCCAAGGGCGCTTAACCACTGAGCCACATCCCCAGCCCTATTTTTATATTTTATTTAGAGACAGGGTCTTGCTGAGTTATTTAGGGCCTCACTAAGTTGCTGAGGCTGGCTTTGAACTTGTGATCCTCCTGCCTCAGCCTCCCAAGATGCTGGGATTATAGGTGTGCATCACCACACCCAGACAGATACAATTTTTTAAAAAATATGTTTTTAGTTATAGATGGACATAATACCTTTATTTTATTTTTACATAGTGCTGAGGATTGAACCCAGTACCTTCCACATGCAAGGCAAGTACTCTACCACTGAGCTACAATCCCAGCCCCATATACAATTTTTGAAAAATATCTTTGATCTGCATTTAGCTGAATCAACTCTTCCACTGAGATGGAACCCATAGAAACAGAGGGCCGACTTAAGTGTGCATACACACCTGCAAAAGTATACTCACTGGGACCAGTTATTGAGCTATAAAAGGAACCCTTCCCACCCATCATGTTTCAAACAACTAGCCACTTCTCTAGGGCCCCATTCTGCAGGACTCGGGGTGGATGGTTGCTGCTGGCCCTCACTGCAGCCCCTTCTATGCCTCTTGTATGTCGAGAACTCAAGGAGCAGCAAACCCAGTACCCCCTTCAAAGTGTGCCTGCAGCAGAGCACTGGTGACTGGTCCAGGGCCCACACACTCTCCCTCATGCCAAGCAGTGAGGGCATGTGTGCTGTGTTCTGGAGTGGAGTTGTGGATGCCCACCCATATCGGGGGGAACTACATGCACCAATGCAGGGGGCCAGGTAGAAGGAAGCACATGCCTGCTCATTTCTGTCTAGTTTATATAGTTAGGGGAGAAGAGCTTGGGCCCTTAAAGTCAGACTGACCTGAGTACAGAGCCCAGATCTGCTACTTCCTAACTGTGGGACCTTGAGCAGGTCACTTCCACTCTCTGAGCCACAGTCTCCCCATCTGTGTTATAGGTTAATACCAGTCCTTACCTCCCAGGGTCTTTATGAACATTGTATGAGACAAGACAAGGACAGTATTCAGCATGTAGTATTCAATAAATGCAACTTACAAGTGCTTGTATCCGAAACATCTTCTTTTCCTTACTCCTGTGACTATTCATAGGATGCTGTCAGGTAGAGTAGCTACTAGTTGCATGCAGCTATTTCAATTTTATTTACAATGAAATAAGATAGATAATTCAGTTTCTTCATTGCACCAGCCACATTTCAAGTGGTCAAGAGCCACATGCTACTAGCGGCTACTATATTGAGCAGCACACATTTTTGACTATTCCCATCACCATAGAAAATTCTACTGGATGAAGCTGTATATACAGAACTGTTAAAAGCACAGTCTAAAAGGAGGCTCTTAGATCACACTAGCTGATTGCCATACTACTACCTATGAGCTGTTACCTTAGCGTGTTACCTCTCTGACTCAGCCTTCTCATCTGTGAAATGGGGGTGACAAAAGCACCTACCTCTTGGAGTTGCTGAGGCTTAAAGGAAGGAATCCATCAACATACTTAACACAGGTCCTGGTACATCCGAAGTGCTCCAAAGAACTGTATCTGCTATCATTACTTCTTTTTTTTTTTCCATTTTTTTGGTACCAGGATTTGAACCCAGAGGCACTTAACTATGAGCCACATCCCTAGCCCCTTTTTGTATTTTATTGGGATCTTGCTGAGTCGCTTAGGGCCTCATTAAGTTGCTGAGGCTGGCTTTGAACTCATGATCTTCCTACCTCAGCCTCCCAAGCCACTGGGATTCCAGGCATGCGCCTCCATGCCCAGCTTACCATTACTTCATGCTGGTAGAAATGGACAAGTCACTTCGTAGCCACAAGTGGGAAACTGGAAGTGAGACTGACAAGCTGGGGGACTATCCACTGGAGGACAGGGACAGCTAGCTGGGTACAGAATCCCTCTTCCTCCCAGTACCTCCTTATGCCCTGGGAAGCCAAGTTCATCGAGCTCCGCTGGGCCAACTTACGTACAGGCTGCCTGTTCTCGGCGAAACCCTTGCGCAGAAAAATACAAGCAGGGCCCAGCAGGTTGTGCATGACGGCGCAGTTTTGGGCCAGCATCAGGAGCGGTCCGGGGAGCTCATCACTGGCTGCCAGCCCCTCCTCGCTTGTCTGCACCACCATGTAGCTGGTCTTCTCCTCCTGGCGCATCTTCAGCCAGCACCAAGTAAATACAAAAGAGAGGCAACGTATCACTTCCTTGCCCACTTAGCTCTTCCAGCCCCAGCTTGGCTCCTGGTCCTTGAGGGACATCTCCTCCTGAGAAGATCCTCCAGAGTCAAGTGGTAGGGTTCAGAGGGCCTCAGGGGGCAGGTCTCAAGTCGGTTCAATAGATGGAGACGCCAATCCTTGACTGACACAGTTGTCCAGGGACAGCTGGGTGTGATGCTCTCTATGTGGCCCATGCACACGCACACGTGCACACGCACGCGCACACACACACACATACACTGATCTATACACAGAATCACATGCTCATGCTCATATGCACACAGAGCTCAGGCTGAGAAGCAATCAGAGGACGGTTTCTGTCCTAATCAATGGGAAGTGTTCTCTCCGAGCGCAATGGAACAATGTCCTTTCTCCAAATGCTTCCAATGGCCAAGCTCCATACTCAAGCTATGTCATGTCTCGCAGCTTACTGATGGGCTCTGATCCTATCCTAGCTGGATCCCCGCTGGAAGCCTGGGGGTGCCATCAGAGTCGGCAACATGGACAACCGTCTCCTTTAGTCTGCTGGACTAGAGGCTGAAAACATAGGTGTCATTGCTGCCATTAATGAAGCAGGCAGGGATCAAGAGGTAGGGATGGGAGGGGTGCAAAATGGATACTACGCACCCCCTTTAAATGGGCAGTCCCACCTAACTCCAGCCACTGTTGCCAAACAGATCTCTTGATTTAAAGCACCAGGTGAGCCAAACAACAAACAGACACCTCTGTGCTTGGATTCCACTTGGTTTACAACCTCAAGATTAGACAGATTTCCCCCCACTCTCCTTTCCCTCCCTCCCGCCTTCCCTGGCTTCCTGCCCGGCCCAGCCTGCTGGACCTCTAGAGGCTAAGGCAGGGGCCTTGTCTGCTGACCAAATATAGCTGTGCTCCCAGGCCCTGGCCAAGCCATTCTCCCCCCTGCAGGTTCCCATGCAGCTATAAAAAGCCAGCACTGCCCACAGACCTTCCCTTAGGACAACAGCAGCATCTAGACACAACATTCAGTTCCACCCCGGCCTCCCCAGCCTGCCAGCCCCTCTCCAGAATTCAGGTCACAGCACTCTGCCCTCAGCCTGGTGCTGGGCGGTCTCCTCTCAGTGTGGGGATTTAGAGCAGAAACTTCCCAAGGAGAGGCAGAGTCGCTGAACCCCTAAAGGCTGTCCTTGTGTGAGAAGCCCAGGGCTGTGCCCCTCTCCTCCCATCCCATTGCACTTCTGAGCCGCTGCCTCCATGGCCTAGGAGAAGATCCCAAGATCCAGGGGCAGCCTGTACCACCAGGCTGAGAAGCAGAACCACCCGTCCCTTGTCCTCTCATGCTTCTCCCCAAAGTCCCCCACTGTGGGGCTACTGAGACCCCCTTCCAATGTCCTAAGCCAATTCCAGGCTTATAGAGAGAAGGAGCAGTATTCTGGTCCCTTAAAGGGAAAGGAGACCCTCAGAATCAAGGTGAAGGAACCCAGTCCCAAGGCTCAAGTTCGGTGAGTCCAAGAAGGGTCAGTTTTAGGAAATCTCAGAAATCGGGGAATGTCAGACAGACTAAGGGCCTATCCTGGCTTGATGCCCCTCAGAGGCAAGAGTCAGAATCTCTGCTGCATGCAGGAGTCAGACTGGAGCTGGCAGAGACCAACACAGACCTTCCCAACTGGGAATGGGAACCAAAGGAAGCCTGGGAGTGGACAGTGACATAACACCAAGAAACCACCTCACAAGATGTTTGCAGAAAATCAGACTTTTTTTGTTTCTGGCTGAATCTCGTGTACTTGATTCAGAATGAGCACAACTGAGGAAGGAGGAGGCAGCAGGTGGCACAGAACTCTGAGAGGCAGTTTGGTATGCTGGCTTTGGACATGGTCTTGGGGACAAGTTCGGGCTCTGCTGCTTGTTTGCTGTGTGACCTTGGGCAGGTCGCTTTCCCTCTCTGTACTCCAGTTACTTTCCCAGGGATAATCATGTCTCCCCACAGGATTCTTGTGAGAAATAATGAGCGATTGCATAGAAAGTGCTTTGCATAGTGCCTAGAACATGGTAAGACCAAATAAATGGAGTTGCCATAGTAATGACAATCAGGATGATGGTGGTGGTGGTGATATAACTTAAGAGATTCTGTGTGCCAGAAGGCATTTACTTCTGGCTCCAGAGCAAGTGGGGGAACATCTGCCAATCAGGAAAGAAATGAGAAGGATGGAGAGGAATTCGCTCCCACAAAGAAGGAAGCAGTGGTGTCTGGGGAATTTCCACTGCATCTCTTAATGCTAACACTGCCTGGCACCAAGTTGCCCTGGAGCCTGCAGCCCTTCTCCAGCCAGTGATGGCACCTGACAGCCTGGTCCTGCCCAGCTCAGAGCTCTAGGCGTGCCGCCTCTCCTCTTTACCAGCTCTCCAGCTACCGCTCAAGCCAAGCCACAAGCTGACAAGGTCTCCTTGGCACTAAATGGACATGTCCTGGGTGTGGCCTGGCAGCAGGAGGGGCCACCGTGCCTCATAACCTTTACAGGTGTGCAGTCAGAAGTGTGCAGGTCAGAAGTCCCTCTCCCTGCAGGAGTTCCAGAATTTAAACAATGCATGCTTGGTGAGAATGCATGGCTACACTGAGTGGGAATTTGGACTAGATGACTTCTAAGGTCAGATCCAGGAATCTAGGTAGAACATTTCTGACAGCAGGAGAAATAGAAAGGCAGCCTCTCCCAGAGGGGAAAAAATAAAAAATAAAACCCAACCTTGACTTCACACATCCAGGGTCTAAATCCCAGCCCTGATTGAGACCTTTGAGACCTTAAGAAAGCTCTTATCTCTGTGTCCAGCAGCTTTCCCTGCAAACTAGCCAAGAAAACTACTTTGTGGAAAAGAGTAAGCGAGATAGCAGATGTTAGATATGTTGTAAATAAGAAAAAGCAATCATTACTACTTTCTGAGGAACATGACATTGAATGAAGCCCATTTTAATGATCTTTTGACTTATTCCATTGGTTCAGAACCTCCTGGCCTGGAGGTGTGACTCAAGAGCAGAGCATGAGCTTAGCATGCAGAGGCCCAGGGTTCTGTCCCAGCACCAATAATAACATCAGACTCTTCATTTTTCCTTTTTCTCCTCCATCCCTCTTCTCTAAAATACAGAGTGGGAAAAATATGATTACAATGACAATAATACTAATATTGATTACTATATGCCTAACACTATTTAGTTTTCACAATTGCCTTAAGAGAGAGATATTAGAGCTGAGGTTATAGCTCAGTGGTCACTTGCTTAGCATGCATAAGGTCCTGGGGTTTGATCCCCAACACTGCAAGAGAGAGAGGGACCCCAAGAGAGGCATAAATTGATGGACACGGGAACTGAGGTACAGAGAGATTAATTTGCTAAGGTCACAAGATGTGGGAGAACTGTTGTGACTCTTAAACACTCTACTGTGTAAGGGCAGATGGGCGAGGGGGACAGAAAGACAGCTCTTGTTCCTAACTTCAGCCCCTCAAACTCTGGACAGAACCCATTGCGAGGATGTTCGCCTATGGTCCTCTAGACAAATTCAGATCAGTTTCTGCTTCTCTGATTCTGCACCGAGGCCACCTCTGGTGTGGCAGATTCCTCTAAGAAGATGACAGATTATAGGGGGCGGTCAGAAACACGCAGACGCAACCATCCATCCTCAGAAGGATCCAAGGAACGGCAAAGATTAAATGGAATTTGATGTGAGCAGCTTAGCTGAATGAAGAAGTTGACAGGCAGAAAAGCCCAAAATGTCCTAAATGGAGAAGCCATCACAGGGACGGAGGATGGAGGATGGGGCTGGTATAAAGGTGCCATTAGCTGACCTGAGACCCTAGGTGTGTCTCTAAACCCCTCTGAGTGGCCATCGAGTTCCTTTGGAAAATGGAAGAATTGGAGGAAGATATCCCTATGTCTCCTTTTTCCTTTAAATAATGTCTGAGTTTGGCCTGACTACGGAGGGCTAGAAATACAGAGAGAGCCCATCTGAAGCAAAATCCAGTAGATACAAGCCCAGATCTGCATGAAAGATGCCTTAAGAGTGATTATTTTCTTCCCCAATGGAATTCTTGCAAAAGAATATTATCCTAGTGTATAAGCATTAGATCCAATCCAGAAAGTGATTGATGGACACACCTGCTAAACATATCTCTTGGGCATCCTGTTTCTTAAGGGAACCAGTCCTGGGCCAGAAGCTAGTCTGGTCATTCTTGAGATTCCGTGATGGGACTTGGGAATTATTGAAGGTAGATGATAGTCTGCTTGGTGCTTTTCAGCAGCAATGGGCTCTACTTCAAAACTCACAATTCTGAAGACTTAGAGACCACCAGAGAGGCGCACAGACCCCGGAAGGTTATGAATGAGCCCCCGAGCATGCTGCTGTGAAGGATCTTCTGGATCCTGCCTGATTCAAAGGATCTTCTGACCTGCACTGATATCCTAAGAATCCACACTTTTCATTTTACGGTCCAAAATCCCCTAAAGCTACGTGATTTGAAGCTAACTTCTGTGCAAATTCCCAAACACAGACTCCCCCCCACTCTCCACCAACCCCCCAGCATGCAGCTCTAGGACCCAACTTCAGCTTGGGGTCTGAGACATAAGCATCTGTGATAGGAGGGTATCTGGAGCTAAGAACAGGGAAGCAACCTTAGACAGAAACCCCTGGGAAAAAACAGAAAGTTCAGATGCCCACCCGCTCCATGCCCAACCTCTGGGGCAGGTAGCAAGACACCCCATCCCCAACCCCAGGGCTTGGGAGCTCCGGAAACATACCTTCCTGGAGAGATGTCTCAATGGCGACTTGACACAGTTGCCCATCCTAAGCTCAGGCAGCCCCTCTTGGGATCCTCGGGTCCATGAAGGAGGCTCCTTGGGGGCTAGGAGACCTCGGTCTGGGTCACTGCCAACCCCAGCCTCCCTCTGCCTGTGCCGCTCTTCCTCCAAGACCAAGCTGAGCCCTCTTTCTGGCGCGCGTGCTCTCTTACCCGTCTGCCTGCTCCTGCTCTCTTGATTTTTTTTTTTTTTGGTGGATTGTGTGTGTGTGTGTGTGTTTGTGTGTCTGTGTTTAACTTTCTGGCCACTTTCTTAAGGAGATGAAGGCAGAAGGGGAGAGTGCAGGGCACAGAGAAAATCGCCTGGAGAGATGATGGTAGAGGGCAGCCGAGCTGGGCAGCCTGCCGGATCATCTACATCAGATTAGAGCTGAGTCCTCTTCTCTCTGCTTCTCTCCCCTTCCCTCACCCCCCCTCCTTTTCTCTGCTGCAGGGAGATTGCTTCAGGGAGGGGACCCAGGGTGGCAGCTGCAGCTGGGAATTAGGCCAGCAGATCCAGAAGGAGAAGCTGGCTAGTTTGGACCCCCAACGCCAGGGTGCCTCAGAGCTCACAGCCCTGCACGCACAGACACTCACCACACACACGCCACACATATGCACACATACACAAGCCCCCAGGGAGATGTATGCCTTTTCCGAAGAGCAGTGAGCTGGACAAGCACGCATCCTCATCGCCCCTGGCAGTTCCAGATGGATGAAGAGCAGGCAGCTCCAGTCAGGGGGCCCTGGGAGATCTTGTGACGTCTCCATTACGCTCCATTTTTCACACTTGCCTCATCAGTGAAATGGGATGAGGCTCCAGGGCTGGCAGCACAGCTGAGCCGACAGCTGAGATCAGTTCCTCCTGCCCCCAGTGCTGTGTGCAAGCTCTCCAATCCAAGGGAAGCCAAGAGGTGGCCCCCAGCGGGGAGCACGGTGGAGGCAGCACTGGCACAGAGGGCACTGGCAAGGTCCCCAGATCTTCTCCTCATCCTCTGCCTAATCCTGAGTGAAGATCTTTCATGGTTTTCCTTGGGGAGCAGAGCACAGAAGCCGCCCTTTACAAATGGTCTCCAAGGTCCCACAGCTGGAACTTTATAGGTTCTTCTTCGCTCCTACAGATTCTGGCTTTGATGTGAATTCATCTCAAGTCTCAGATGTCCCATTTGAGACCTTCGGCCTGAGCCAGAAGGAAGAGAGGAAGCATCCCTGCTTCCCCGCATCTGACTTTCTCCAGCAGGGGGCACCAGAGATAGATTGGGAGACAGGACTCTTGGGGGGGGGGGGGGATGCAAGCGGTTCTCTCACACAGAGCTCAAAAGAGTTTCAGGTCCAGCTTGGGTGACCAGTTGGAAATCCTGTTAGGGAAGATGGCTGGGGCCACCGCCCAGAGGGTGACACTGACTCACTCCTAGAGGCCTGGGAAGGAGGACCGTTGCTGGCCTCTGATGGTCACGGTGCTGTGTTGCTGGTCAGGGAATGGTTTAATCAGGGCGGATATTCAGCAGACTTGTTTAGGCCAAACCTCTGGAGGAGACGATGGAGGAGGAGGGACCGCCCCATAAGGTCTAAGGGAGGAGGCTGAGGTGGGGTCGGGTGTGGATGCCTAAAGGGCAGGAAAGAGGGTGAAGATGCCAGGCAGCAGGGGCAGGAAGAGTGAGCAGCCAACATAAATGCCATCTTCAAAGCTGCTTCCTGTGGAAACAGCATGAAGGAAGCACTCCGTGGGCCTGGTCAGACAGGTCAGGCTCAATAGACTCCAATGAAGGGGCAGGATGGGGCAGATGGGGTTGAGTCCTGGCATTCCCAGAGTCCTTCCATTCCTGAGCTCCAGTTTCCTCCACTTGAAAATGGGGCTTCCCCTGCCTTGCCGATAAAGCACACACATTAACAAGTGCGGCACATAGTAGGGGCTCAATAAGTAATTATTCAAACAGAAGGAAGAAGTATCATGTGCTTGGTGTTTATGTGCCAGGCACTGGGCTTGGCTCTGAGAATGTTGTGAGGACCTCTGGGAGCTTATATTCTATTCTAGCTGGTGGGCAAGAGGTAGTAAGGAGATCTGAGCAGTCATTTACTTACATTTCAGATAAATGCTCTGAAGGGAGAAAGACAAGAACTCTGTGAACTGGGTCCAATGGTGCATGCCTATAATCCCAGTAGCTCAGGAGACTGAAGCAGGAGGATCACAGGTTCGAAGCCATCCTCAGCAACTTAGGGAGACCCTAAGCAACTTAGCAAGACCCAGTCTCAAAATTAAAAAATGAAAAGGGCTGGGAATGGGACTCAGTGGTTAAGCACCTCTGGGTTCAATCCCTGGTACCAAAAAAACAAAAAACAAAACAAACAAACAAACAAAAAAAACCCCCCAAACTCTGTGAATGTAAAACAGACAGGGAATCCAACTTAGTCTGGGGGAATCAGGAAAAACTTATAGACAAAATTATTAAAAAAGGACCATCTGCAAACTTGGAGACAAGGCTCACTAGTGGAGCTTGGGTTAGGCTCCAGATACAATCCCAATTCATACCAACTAAACCAGAGAAAGCATATAAAGGCAGCACAGGACAAGGCAGGATTCTCAGTCCTGGCTCCAGGCTAGAATTGCCAGGGAGCTTCCCCAGAAATTCTGATTTACGTAGGTTTAGGTGGGCTCGGGACATTGGAGTTGTTCTAGTCTGTTCTTCAAGGAATTCAAACCTGTAGCCTTTGTTGAGAACCACTAGGGTAAAGCTTCAGAGCCTGGAATGCAGAATGATACTGACCTGGGTTCAAATCTTGTCCTGCTACTTAGTTACCATGTGACCTTGAGGAAATGTTGGTCTCTCTGAACTTCCATTTCTTTTATTTTTAAAATGGGGATTCTAATAACACCTCCCTTAAGGCTCTTATAAGGAGTTAATGAGGTAATATGTGCAAAAGGCTTGGCACAGTGCCAGGCACCTAGAAAGTGCCTCCTTCCCCTCCCTGCATGGCCTTGGTTTTAAAGGGCCATTCATCCAACATCCACTGGTGACTCCTGCCCCCTGCAGGCCAGCTCAGGGCATAACACCCACTTGTCGACCTTGGGACAGGCCTCCGTCCTTGGAAACAGTAGATAGAAGACAGCAAAACCAGGCCCTTATGGAAAAGTCAGGCTCTTGAAGGAAGCTTACCCTGCTGTGTGGGTCGGGGCGAGAGTGACACTAGTTTGAGGTCTGGGGGCAGCAAGGGATACAGGGGTTCAGATCTGAGGCTTTGGAGCTTCCTTAAACCTGAGCTGAGCAGTGGGCAGATAGATGGTTTGATCTTCTAAAGGAAATCAAAAAGGGCTGAGGGGTGAGGGCTTCCTCTGGGGAGTGAAGCACATTGTGTGCCCCCCACTATCCTCATTCACAGAGCTGCAGTCCCTGGGCCTTCCAGAAGCCACGATTCGAGTTCTGGAATGGAATAATAGGATCAGAGGGATGAGAAGGATAAACCCGTTGCTGATTATTCCTGATTAGGGGGAGGCTGGCCTCCCGTCCTGATCAGTTCTATCACTAGCATTTGAACTTGGACGCCAGCCCAGTGGTAAAATGCCTGGGGAAAGCTGGGTCGTAACCTGAGAGGTGCTCTGTGGATTCTTCCGACAACCAGGGAACACGGATAAGTGACTTTCCACCCTGCCAGCATGGTACAGCACAGGCAGGTGTGTTTGGAGACAGGCAGTCCTGCCATTTATTTACTGTGTCACTTTGGACAAGTCACTCCCCTCTCTTGAGCCCTTTCCTCATCTCTAAAGAGGGGGATGACAATACCAACCTCTCAGGTTGCTGTGAAGATAATGCCAACACACTTTGACAATGGTTTGGTGGGATCTAGACTGAGGCCTCAAGTACTCGTTTCTCACAGCAACATCCGGAAGCAAATGCAGATACCGTGGAGGACTCTCACCCAACTGATGGAGGCCACTCATAGCATCAGTGATGGATGTTAACCACAAACTGACCTTCTTCTTTCCCCCTCCTCAGGCCCCAGAGGAAAGGCAACAGAGGACACTCAATCTGGGCAGGAATGAGGAACACTCACAGCCCTCATTCTAGGAATATAGGCCTATTATGGTTGAATCCATTAGAACACAAATCACCATGACCTCTCTCACCATCTAAACCAGAGAAACTAAGAAACCTCTGAAGTCCAGAGGCTTATGACACCATTCATTCATTCATTGATTCACTAACAAAATACTGTGATCCAGTTAATGTGTATGGAAACTCAGTCAGCCTTCCCAAATCAGCTATGGGCTTGATTCACATCTGCTTCCTCTACAAGGGTTTTTCTTCTAAGGCTTAAGAGTAAGAACAGAAGGTCTGTACATGAAATAATCTTCCAAGACCCAAAGCCCTAGGTCATGCTTATTCTGAGCTAATTTCTGACACCACATCTTCTCTTTAGGCAGCTAGGTGGCACGTCCTTAGCAGGAAACAGAGAGGAAATCTGGGAAGGACACTCTGCTCCTCTCTTAATAGGCTTTTCTCACCCAGCTCAGAGGCAGCTTTCAAAACACCTTACACAGACCCTTATTCAATTAGACTATTAAAAAGAGCAATAACAGGGCTGGGATTGTGGCTCAGCGGTAGAGTGCTCGCCTAGTTCGTATGAGGACCTGGGTTCGATCCTCAGCACAATAAACATATTGTGTCTAACTACAACTAAAAAAATAAATATTAAAAAAAAGAAAAAAGAGAAATAACATCAATAGAGGCTGCCCTTGATCCAGCCCCCGCTAGGAGCCAGGCATTTGCTGCCCTTAATCCTGTGTAAGCTTCACAATAACTCACAAGGGAGTTTTTGTCAATCTCATTTCTGGATGAAGAAACCTTGGAGAGATAAAATGACATGCTGAGGTCACAGAGCTGGGACTGGAGCCTTCAGCTCTACTGTCTTCCAAACCACACTTTGACACCTTAGCCCCAAATCTACACTGTCTCCCTGCAGACAGTAAGAATGCACCATGAGGTCTTTGGAAGAATCTTAATTCCTATTTCCCCAAATGTAGGAGTCTACCTCCATTGTCATGTTGAACCTGGCTCTCCGAAAGAAAATGCCCTTGGTAGTTAATAACAATAATAATAATAACTAACACAGAGAGTTTATGCACTGGACCACACTCCATACAAAGCTCATATCTCATTTAACCTCCCAAACGTCTCCTTGAGGCACTATGAGTATTCTCTATTTTTCAGGCAAGCAAAGAGCCTTAGTAAGATTACAAGTTACAGAATGAAAGAACAAACCAACAAAAAAAAAATTAGAACTTGAGAGACATGAAAAATAAACTTCTCCAAATATATTTTGCCCTAAGTAGATCCTATCTGAAAGCTTGTATTCAGAACCTTCCCCCCATTTACCTTCTCTGGGCCCCCACCCTGTCTTAAAGGACAGAAATCTCAATACAGCCAGAGACAGAAAAGAAAGACTAATTCCTCTCTGTCACAGGAGGCTGCAGGCTCTGACACCAAAGTCCCAGCCTGGGTGTGCTGTGCTGTTAACTGTTGTTATTCAAACAGATGCCTTTGAGATGCCAGCAGGAAGCCCAAACTGAATGTGCTGGGCTTTAAAAGAAAAAGCCCACAGCTCTAAGAGGCCGGAGCTTCCAAAGGAAGGTAGTAAATATTTGATGGGACCTTCCTGCTCCTCCTGACTCAGATGACCCTGGTGACATTTCAGAACATGGGGCTGGAGAATGTTCTTCATTTAATGACTGGGGAATTAGAAGGAGGAACTAAAGCATGTAGCTGCAGTGCTCTGAGCTCAGAATGGGCTCATGCCGGCAAAATTCTGCAAAGCTGGGAAGCAAGGGTTCTTTTTCCAGGAGCTGAGTCAGATCACCAGCAAACTGAATAACCAGGAAGTGTATGATTCCAGGCCTTCCAAACTGCTAGATCATAAGCCCCCAAATAGCCAGAATCCTGGCTCTCTCGTTCACTGTTGTCTCCCTAATGAGCCGTAAACACTTTGGTAAAGTAGGTGCTCAAAAGATATTTGATAAATGAATGAATTTTTATTGAATAACACACAGCTTTTGTGTTGCAAGCCGGTCCTAATCCACAGACCACTCCTGACTTAACACCCCACACCTCCTAAAACAAAAGCCACTGCAGTGAACTTCTCCTTCAGTCTGTCACTGCTCTAACTCTTCATGGCTCTGCATCCAGATCTGTACTCCAGAGAACTGTTCCCAGCTCACTTGACTAATGAGGGCTCCCTGCAGGAACAAAGCCACACGCTGCTGCCCCATCACACCACCAGAGCAGGCCCGCGCAACCTGAATCCATGTGCAGCTGCCTTCATGTCAGACCTCAGACTGGCATCAGCCACTGCAGAGTAGTATTTTGAAAAGAAATGTGCAGATCTGAAGCAAAACACACACACGGCCTTCTTAGAATGTTGATCCAGCATGACAAGCCAGGAGCTTGAGGCGGCTTCTTTGCTCTAGATCCTAGCACACACCCCAGTGTCCCCAACAAACTAAGCAAATGCTTTGATCAGACCTCTGCATTACACCTCTTGGCTGCCGCAGAACTGTCTCAACGCCCTGCCACTGAGTTCGACTTGATTACAGACTCAGAACTAGAGGAAATTCTGGCTTTGTTCAGGAGTTCAGAGGTTCCTGTCTCCCCAGCCACACAATCACAAACTGTAGGCCTGAATTGTGACCACAAAGCTTTTTAAAGGGCAGATGTCTAGCTCCCTAGGGCCCTTGAGGAAACCAAAGAGCCACTGGTGACCTCTTAGTGGCTTTTCTGACCTTAAGATGCACCCCAACTCATGCTAGAGTTCTATGAGTGTTATTCCACATCCTACAAATCCATAACTGCCCAACTGTCGTCCTAGTGGCATCCTGGAGTGACAACCTCCTTAAAACACCTCAAAGTTCCAATTTGAGCCATAGCTCTAGACCCCCGCCCCCATGTCTACCCAGACACCTCTTCTCTTTCCTCATATTTTTGATTTTCCTAACTTTTCCCAGGCCTTTGAAGTCGCCATAGGCAATGGCTAGAGTTCCTCATCTCCAAACAAGTCTGTGTGACCCAAGCCTCCCTCTCCCCTTGCTCCAAATCCCTTGCTCTCTTGGGTTGCTCCCTGGCGATACTGGCCAGAGGCCGGAGCAGTGGGTTTGGTGCCACCTGCTCAGAGCGCTCCTCTGTGACCCCACAGATCTCCAGGAGGGCTGTGGAGGTCTCTCCCTTCCAGGACTAGCGGTTCGGGCAGGTGTGAGGAAGGCTAAGTGGCGGTGCCTCGCCCACAAGAGGCCCGGAGCATGGACAGCGCACAGGGTGCTGAATCAGGCACGGGGGTGGAAGAGTGCCGGCCCGCAAGGGCGCCGGGCCGCGGGATGACAGCGGGAGCCGAGGCGTGACCTGGGGACCACGAGCAGCGGGAGTAGGGTCATGGACGCGCCGCAGCAGCAGGGTCCCGAGCGCCTTTCCACGGAGTGCGAGCAGGAGGCGCGGCCCTTACCTGGCCGAAGGCGGAGCTGAGCATGGGGTGCAGCCGGTGGAGGAACGGGTCCGCCTCAGTCGCTGCGGCTGGAGCGGAGTCCCCGCGACCCGGGGCTCGCAGTGAGCCCCGGAGGCCGAGCGCCGGGGACAGCCCCCGTTCCTCCCCATCCC